ACTTGTCTTACAAGAGATGCTAAAAGGAGTTATTTGATCTGAAAGAAAAGGATGTTAATGAGCAACAAAATATTTGGAGGTGCAAAACTTATGCAATAATAGTAAGTACACAGAAGAACACAAAATATTATAATATCATAATTGTATTTGAAAAATTGGTTTATAAATTATTCATATCTTGAGTAGTAAGAGGAAAAGATAAATTGATCAAAATAATAACTTCAGCAACTTTTCAATATATAGACAGTACAATAAGATATAAATAGAAATAACAAAAACTTAAAAAGCAGGAGGATAAAGTTCAAATGTAGAGACTGTACTCATTTTATCTTTACTTGTTTGTTAGTTTGTTAGTTTATGCAGCCTGTTGAAGTTGTCATCAGTTGAAAATAATTGGTTATAAAATATTATTTGCATGCTACATGGTAACCTCAAGTCATAAAACATGTATCAAATACACAAAAAATAAAAAGCAAGAAATTAAAACATTCCACCAGATAAAATTATCTTAATTAAAAGGAAGTCATAAAGGAAGGAAAGAAGGAAGAGAAGACCAAAACAGTTGGAAAACAGATAGCAAAATGATAGCAGTAAGTCCTTACTTATCAATAATAACCCTGAATGTAAATAGACTGCACTCTCCCATCAAAAGAGATGGAGTGGCTGAATGGATAAAAAGAAAAAAAATAAGATCTAAAGATCTGATAGCCATAAGAAACACGCTTCACCTATAGGCACAAAAATATGCAAAATATAGGGATGGAAAAAAGACATTCTATGCAAATGGAAATCAAAAAAGAGGAAGAGTAGCTATACTTATATCAGACAAAATGTATTTTAAGACAAAAACCATAAAAAGAGACAAAGAAGATTATTATATAATGAAAAAGTTGTTAATTCAGCAAGTAGTTATAATAATAGTAAATATATATGCACTCAACACCGGAGCAATCAAATATGTAAAGCAAATATTATTAGTGCTAAAGAGAGAGATAGAATCCAATACAATAATAACTGGAGAATTTAACACTTCACTTTCATCATTGAACAGATCATCCAGACAGAAAAAGAACAAAGAAACATCAGACTTTATCTGCACTACAGACCAAATGAACATAATACATATTCACAGAACATTTCATCCATCAGCTGTGGAATAAAAATTATTTTCCTCAGCACATAAATTATTCTCAAGGTTAGACCATATGTTAGGTCACAAATCAGTTCAAAAAACTGAAATTATATCAAGTATCTTCTTTAAACCTTGTGGATTAAAACTAGAAACCAGTAACGAGAGATTTTGGCAACTATACAAGTACATGAAAATTAAACAGTATGCTCCTGAATGACCAGTAGGTCAACAAAGAAAATAAGAAGGAAATTATTAATTTCTTGAAACAAGTAAAAATGGTAACAAACTTATCAAACTTATGAGATGTGGTAAAAGAAGTGCTAAGAGAACATTTATAGCTGTAAGTTCCTATATTTAAAACGTAGAAAAACTTTAACTAAACAACATAATGATACATCTTAACTAGAAAAGCAAAAGCAAACCAAACCTCAAATTAGTAGAAGAAAAGAATAATAAAGATCAGAGCCGAAATAAATAAAATTGAAACAAAAAATAGAAAAGAATAAGTGAAACTAAAATTAGATTTTGAAAAGACAAACAAAATTGATGAACCTTACTTAAACTAAGTAAGAAAAAAGAAGACACAAATAAATAAATTCAGAAATGAAAAAGGAGACATTGCAACCAATACCACAGAAATCCAAAGGATCACTAAACTACTATGAGCATCTACATGCCAATAAATTGGAAAACTTAGAATAAATGGATAAATTCCTTGACAAATATGACCTACAAAGATTGAAACATGAAGAAATTCAAAACCTGAGCAGACCAATTACAAGTAATGAGATTGAAGCCATAATAAAAAAGTCTTACAGCAGAGCAAAGCCTGGGACTTTATGTCTTCACTACTGAATTTTGCCAAATATTTAAAGAAGAATGAATACCAATTCTACTCAAACTGTTTCAAAAAATAGAGATGGAGAGAATACTTCCAAATTTATTGTAAGAGACCAGTATCACACTGATACTAAACTAGACAGGAAAGGAAAAGAAGACAAGGCAAGGCAAGGGCAAAGGGAAGGGAAGGGAGAAGAAGAAAGGAAAGAAGGAAGGAAGGAAGAAAATGAGGATGGATGGAAGGAAGGAAGGAAAGAAAAGAAAGAAGGAAAGAAAGAAGGAAGAAAGAAAGAGAAAGAAAGAGAGAGAGAAAAAGAAAGAGAGAGAGAGAAAGAAAGAAAAGAAAGAAAGAGAGAAAGAAAGAAAAAGAAAGAAAGAAAGAAAGAAAGAAAGAAAGAAAGAAAGAAAGAAAGAAAGAAAGAAAGAAACTAACTGCAGGCAAATATCCATGACAAACATTGATGCAACAATCCTCTACTAAACACTAGCAAACCAAATCAATAACACCTTAAAGATTATTTACCATGATGAAGTTTTATTTACTACAGGGATGCAAGGATGGTTCAACATATGCAAATCAATCAATATAATACATCATATCAACAGGATGAAGGAAAAAATCACTTAAATTGATGCTGAAAATGCATTTGATGAAATCCAACATCCTTTCATGATAAATGTCCTGAAAAAACTGGATATAGAAGGAACATACCTTAACATAATAAAAGCTATATATGACAGACTCACAGCTAGTGTACTGCATGGGGAACAATTGAAAACCTTTTCTCTAATATCTGTAAGATGACAAGGGTGCTGACTTTCACCACTGTTAATCAACATAGTACTGAAAGTCCTAGCTACAACAGACCAAAGAACGAAATAAAGGGCATTCAAATTGGAATGGAAGAAGTCAAATTATTCTTGTTTGTAGGTGATATGATCTTCTATTTTGCAAGTCTTGAAGACCCCACCAAAAATCCTATTAGAACTGATAAATAGAGTAAAGTTGCAGGATACAAAAATCAACATACAAAAATCAGTAGCATTTCTATATACTAACAGTGAACAATCTGAAAAAGAAATCAAGAAAGTAATTCCATTATAATAACTACAAATAAAATAAATTCATAGGAATAAACTTCACCAATGACATAAAATATCTCTACAATGAAAATTATTTTAAAAATAATGAAAGAAATTGAAGCAGTAACAAAAACCTGCAAAGATATCCCATATTCATCAGTTAGAAGAATCAATATTATTAAAATGTTCTTACTACCTAAAGCAATCTAGAGATTCAATGCAATCTCTATCAAAATACCAATGACAGTCTTCACAGTAGGAAAAACAATCCTAAAATGTATACGGAACCACAAAAAAGCAGAATAGCCAAAGTTACCCTAGCAAAAAGAACTAACCTGGAGAAATTATAATATCTGACTTTAATTCTATCACAAAGCTTATTAACCAAAATAACATGGTACTGGCATAAAAACAGACGCATAGACCAATGGAACAGAGTGGAGAATCCAGAAACAAATCCATATCTACAGTGACCTAATTTTCAACAAAGGTGCCAAGAACATACATTGGGAAGAGGACAGTCTCTTCAATAAATGATGCTAGCAACACTGGATATCCATATGCAGAAGAATGAAACTAGACTCTTATGTCTCACAGTTAAAAAAATCAAATCAAAATGAATTAAAGGCTTAAATCCAATACCTGTAAATGTGAAACTACTAAAAGGAAACATTGGGTAAAATTTTCCAGGACATTGGACTGGGCAAAGATTTCCTGAGTAATATCCCACCAGCACAGGCAACCAAAGCACAGATAAACAAATAGATTCACATCAAGTTAAAAAGCTTCTGTACAGGAAAGTAAACAATCAACAAAGTAAAGAGAAAACACACAGAATGGGAGAAAATATGTGCAAACTATTCATCTGACAAGGGACTAATAACCAGAATATATAAGGAGCCCAAACAACTCAGGAAATAAATCTAACGATTTGATTTAGTAATGGGCAAATGATCTGAACAGACATTTCTTAAAAGGAGCCATACAAATGGCAAATAGGTATGTGAACAGGTGTTTAACCTCACTAATCATTAGAGAAATGCAAACCAAAACCACAGTGAGATGGCATACCCCCAGTTAAAATGTCTTTTATACAAAAGACAGACAATGACACATGATGGTGAGGATATGGAGAAAAGACAACCTTGGTACACTGTTGGTGGGAATGTAAATTAGTACAACCATTATGTAAAACAGTTCGGAGTTACCTCAAAAAAACAAAAAATGGAACCAACATATGATCCAGCAATCCAACTGCTAGGTATATACCCAAAAGAAAGCAAATCGATCCATTGAAAAGATATCCTTACTCCCATGTTTATTTCAGCACTCTCCACAACAGTCAAAATTTGGAACCAGCCTGTCTATCAGCAGATGAATGGATAAAGAAAATGTGGTACATATACACAATGGAGCAGTATTCAGCTATAAAAAGAATGAGACGCCTCATTTGCCACAACAAGGATGGAACTGAAAGTCATTATGTTAAGCAATATAAGCCAGGCAAAGGAAAATGGCTTATTTTGGAAGCTAAAATTAAAATAATTGAACTGATAGAGACAGAGAGTAGAATGATGGTTACCACAGGCTGGGAAGGGTAGTTGTGGGGAGAAGCGGGATAGTTATTGGGTACAAAAATATAGTTAAGTAGAATAAATAAGGTCTATTATTTGACTATAACTGGGTGACTACAGTCAAAAATAATTTATTCTGTATTTAAAAATAACCAAAACGGTATAATTTTATTTTTTTATAACACAAAGGATAAATGCTTGAGGTGATGAATAACCTGTTTACCCTGATGTGATTATTACACAGTTTGCCTGTGTCAAAATATCTCATGTAGCCCATAAATATATACAGCTGCTATGTACTCATCAAGTTAAACATTAATTTTATTAAAATAATTGACCCAGACTCTTGTCTTCTTTTCAATCCACAGTAGCACAGTTGATTCCTGAGCTGTAGTGACTTTTCCACTGACCATACTACTGCCATGATGTTATTCTGGTCCAGACTTATGAATCAATTCTTGTCTACTGCCTGATTTGATTATTTATCATGCACCCTGGTCAGTCCATAAATGTGATCTTTGGATGTCTATGAACATAATTATTTTGTTGTAACTATCATTTGATGCTTAGCAAGAAGATAGAGTATTTGGGAAGTTTATTGAGATTTTGAGAGATACTTTTCACTGTACCCATATATTTGACTTTAATTTCTCACTCATATAAACATCTGGAAATTACTATTTCTGCATAAGTTACTTTGTAAACAAGAGCCCAGCATGTTGCAGTTTGCACCTTTATCAGTCTGGAGGTTTGAAATGGGTTTTATTTGTTCATGCCCTTGGTTCTATTAAAGAGACTCACTCCTTGGAAGGATGAAGGGGGAGAATTGTATTAATAAAGAATTGGTCTTCATGTTCAAATAAAGTGGAAGTTATAAAAAGCATTACCACATAAAAATATTTCTATTTAGAAAATCATAAGTAGCAATGAACTATATCATATTATAAACATTAAAATAACCAAATCTTATATTAAGTTTTCTTAACACAATGGAAACTGTCTAAACAAGTCATCTAGTCTTTATCTATTATAACCTTAGATTTAAAAAAATTAGATTGACTGAAACAATCCCAAAATAGGTGGAATAATTAACAGAGCTGTAATCATTGTTATAAACCTCCTGAGAACAGTCACTCTAATAAAACTGGCATATTAGAATCTCCAAAATAATCAGGTGCAACTAAACATGATTAATGATAAACCAACTAAATTCACATACAAAGCGTATTAAACAGTTGTGGACTTTAACTTGTATCACACTTCCTCTTTAATCTGATTATTTGATAAGAGCAAATATACTAGCAGTTTTACTTTGCTCACATATTTTAATCCCATGCTATTTTTACTATAGTGGATTTTTACTTGCTAAAGTAGAAAGAAGATCCAAACATTTGATGAGACAATGTACAGAAGGTAATTTCCACAAAATGTTAAATGTTTTTATTCAATGCTGTATCCTGATTTTTTTAAAAAAAAAGTCCTGGCTCACGTCTGTAATCCCAACACTCTGGGAGGCCAAGGCGGGCGGATCACAAAGTCAGGAGTTCGAGACCATCCTGGCAAACAGAGTGAAACCCATCTCTACTAAAAATACAAAAAATTAGCCAGGCATACTGGCGGGCACCTGTAATCTCAGCTACTCCAGAGGCTGAGGCAGGAGAATCACTTGAACCTGGGAGGCGGAGGTTGCAGTGAGCCAAGATCCTACGAACACACTCCAGCCCTGGTGACAGTGTGAGACTTTTTCACCAATGTAATGAAACTCTTTTTGACGCCAGCAATGTTTGCTTTGAGGAAGTTCCCGCTTTTACAATAACAATAACTAGGACCATAATAATGAGTAGACAGACTGGACGTTATTTTTTGGTTCAGGAAAGCACTGCTTAACATAACTCCTCTGTATATGCCTGAAATGTAACCATGAACCATACAGTTGCTTTTCACATCAAGGATCAAATTCTTGAAGATTTTTCCTTATGTTCTTTTTCACTAGACCCTTTCGATTGTCTTTCCTTTGACTGTTCTTACTTTTTTTTTAGCCTCAATAGTCACCTTCCATTTAGCCTACCACCGTGAAGGAAAAAAGAAAAAAAAAAACTGACTAATATTTTCTAAACCTCACTTTAAACCTGTGTTTCTAGATGTGGATCTCTCTTTTGGGCAAATGAAAGTATATTGGGTCTACACATGCTGACTGTACAGATTTGTTTTTAATTACGAAAGAACATGGCGACTGCCTTTGAATTCTCAACATTCAATGTGGTCAGCAGGAGTAAACTTGGCACTTTGAGGGCAATGCAAGTAATAGCAGCAACAGCAAAAACAGACCTTAATCAAGCAATTAATATGTGCCGAGTCTCTTGCTAGACATTTTAACAAGAGTTAGTTTACCTATGTCACACACTTGTAATTAACTGCATAGTAAATGAAGGCTTTTAGGGCATAGGTCACATGTCTGACTCACAGCTGCGATGTGGTGGATCCAAATCTCTCTGAGGCCAAATACTGCCCAGCTTGAATGAACACTGTGCTCCATGCTTGAAACAACTACTCCAGCCATCAGAAAAGAGCCTCCCATGCAACTGAAGTCTGCATATCAGATTCTCATGGGATAATTCATAAAGGATCCTTGAAGTTAATTCTGGATATATCCTGAAATAGAGTGTCTCCTCTGTTTTTTCTTCTTTTTTTTTTCCACAACCAAGGAGGCACTGGTGCCTACTTATCTGAATAATCGGATTTCTCTTTGATGCAATTGCAGTTTTTACTAGGCCTTTAAAAAAATACGTTGAGTATTTTTCCCTGTTGTACATGTCTGTGTGCTGCAGTGCCCTTTCTACTTTCATACCAGCTGATTTACTTTTAGTTTTTGCTACATTTATAAAATATCACAGCTGATGTTGAGGAAGATGATGATGATGATGTGTAAGTATCTGTATTATTTTAATTAAAACCAATCTTTTATTAAACAGCAGATAGGCTTAAGAAAATTAAATTAATCTATCTATGAGAATCTGAACTACAAAATTATAGTTCCTAAAGCAGTCAAAACGTCCATAATATAGAGATGTGCTGAGGACATCCTTGGTAAATGGAAGTCCATGTTGCTGAGCCCATGCATAACCTCCATCTCTGCCACCGTGGCCACTTTGTCCATGGGCCCACTGGGCGATGACAGGGGTGTATGGAAAAGAGGCTGAGTGGTGTCCACAGAACAGGTCACTCTATCTACTTAATTATTAAAATCCTCCTCTGCTGAGGTCACCTATTGGTAAGCACTCACATAGGATACAGATATCTTCACAGTTTTAGACCACTCAGAGAGGTTCATCCATCACATAACTCATCCCCAAATTTATTGGTCACCAATTTTCCAATCATGCTTCTTCCAAGTTCTTGACCATCCAGCCAAACCATTGGCTACAGACCATGAATCAGTATATAATTGTACATCTGGCCATTTAAAGTGTACAACGAGGTGCACTGCTGGAAGTTCTGCCCACTGGGAAGATTTCCCTTAACCACTGTCCTTCAGGGATGTCCTAGGAAAGGGCTGTGGTGCTGCAGCTCTCCACTTTTGGATGCCGCCTGCCTATCATGCAGAATCATCTGTGAACCAGGCCCTAGTCTTCTCTTTCTGTCTCAACTGATCATAGGAACCTCCCCATGAGGCCATTGGTGCAGGCTGGGAAAGAAGGCAGAGGGGCAGGAGTGGAGACCATGGGCATTTGAGCTACTTCCTCATGTAACATCTGCACAGGCTCGGGTAGAGAAGGCAAGGTGGGAGCCGTGGAGATCATAGCCACTCTGTTAGCAGTATGTGCTGTTAGCCACTTCCTTATGTAACTTACTTGTGCTTTCAGGACCTGCTTGAACCTGATCACATATATACCACTTCCATTTGATGATGCAATGCTGCTGAGCATGCCCAACTTTATGGCTAGATGGGTCAGAAAGCATCCAGTTCATGATAGGCAGTTCAAGTCACATGGTGATTTGATGACCCATAGTCAAATGTTCAGTTCCCACCAAAGCCCGGTAATAGGCCAAGAGCTGTCTCTCAAAAGGAGAGTAGTTGTCTGCAGAAGATGGCAGGGCCTTGCTTCACAATCTTAGAGGCCTCCACTGAGATTCACCTATCAGGGCCTGCCAAAGGTTCCAAACAACATCCGTATCTGTCACTGATACCTCTAGCACCATTGAACCTGCTGGGTCATATGGCCCAAGTGGCAAAAAAACTTCCATAGCAGTCTGGGCCTGTTACAGAGCCTTCTCCTGTTCTGGACCCCTCTCAAAACTGGCAGCCTTTTGGTTCAGTTGATAAATAGGCTGAAGTAACACACCCAAATGAGGAATGTGTTGCCTCCAAAATCCAAATAGGCCCACTAGGCATTGTACTTCTTTCTCGGTTGTAGGAGGGGCCAAATACAGCAACTTATCCTTCACCTTAGAAGGAATATTTCCACAGGCCCCACACCAGTGTACCCCTAGAAATTTTACTGAGGTAGAGGGTTCCTGAATTTTAGTCAGTTTTATTTCCCATCCTTTGTCATGCAAATATCTCACCAATAAGTCCAGTTTGTTTTCTGCTTCTTGCTCACTGGATCCAGTCAGCATAATGCCATCGATACAATGGACCAGTGTGATGTCTTGTGGAAGGGAAAAGCGATCAAGTCTCTGGGAATGAGATTATGACACAAAGCTGAAGAGTTGATATATCCCTGAGGTAGGACAGTAAAGGTATGTTGCTGGCCTTGTCAGCTGAAGGCAAATTGTTTCTGGTGGGTTTTATGGACAGGCATGAAGAAAAAGGCATTTCCCAGTCAATGGCTGCATCCCAGGTGCCAGGAGATGTGTTAATTTGTTCAAGCAATGAAACCACATCTGGTACAGCAGTTGCAATTGGAGTCACCCCTTGGTTAAGCTCACAATAATCCACTCTCATTCTCTGATCTGTCTTCTGCACAGGCCAAATAGAAGAGTTGAATGAAGATGTGGTGGGAATAACCTCCTCTGCATCTTTCAAGTTCTTAATGGTGAAAATAATCTCCACAATCTATCCAGGGATGTGATATTATTATTGATTTGCTATTTTTCTAGGTAGAATCAACTCTCATGGCTTCCATTTGGCCTTTCCAACAATAATAGCCTTCACTTTGCTAGTCAAGGAGACAATATGGGGGTTCTGCCAGCTGCTAATTAGGTCTATGCCAATTTTGCATTCTGGCACTGGGGAAATGACCACAGGGTGAGTCCAGGAAACCACTGAACCCACTGTAAGTTGAACCTGAGCTAAAACTCCATTAATTACCTGACCTCCATAAGTTCCTACTTTAACTGGAGGACCACAATGACATTTTGGGTCCCCTGGAATCAACATCAGCTCAGAGCCAGTGTCTAGTAGTCCCTGAAATCTCTGATCATTTCCCTTTTCCCAGTGCACAGTTACCCTGTTAAAAGGCCAGAGGTCTCCCTGGAGAAGGTTGGGAGAAAGATTATCAGCATAAATTGTCGATAGTGTAGTGGGGTCCTTCCTCAAGGGGACTCGGCCTCCCCTGCATTAAAGGGGCTCTGGGTGTGTAAACTGACTCAAGTCTGGAAATTGATTGAGGGGCCATAATTCTCATTTTTTATAATTCAAATTAGTCTTTTGTCCATTCAACTTGGAAGTTTTCTGCTCATGTAAATTAAGTAGAAATGCAGTAGGCTTTGTATCATTTTCACTTCTAGGAAGACTGTGATTAATTAGCCAATGTCAAAACTCTACAAGAGTCAGACTATTTTGATTGCTACTTTGGCTCTGCTGTTCATTACAGTAGCAACACTCACTTTGCCTTTGATGGTTGAGTGCCACTACTTTGCTCCTGCCACCATGGGATCCAATTATTTCCCAATTATTCCCGTTGCATTTAAATTTTGTAGTTGAGTGACTGAGGTTCCTGCTATTAGATCTGACATGCAGAGAAGAACAATTACAGGGCTCTTCAAAGATGCAGGTGCTGCCCTCACAAATCTATTTCACAAGGCATTGGTCAAAGGTATGCCTGTGGACCCTACCAGCTGGGATGAGCAGGTCTAAAGTGACTAATCCACTTCACTATCCCAATATCCCTAAACCTTTGGATCCCTTCCTTTACATTAAACCAAGAGAGATCAGGCATTTCCAGCTTGCTCACAGTGGGCCGTCTTTTAATCCATATTTCAACTAACCAAACCAATAAACTATTAGAACCTTTTTTAATTCTCCAAGCTGCAACATTAAAAGCAGAGTCCCTACTTAGCAAGCCCAAATCAATAAATTCAGCCTCATCCAAGTCTACGTTCCTTCCACCATTATCCCATACCCTTAATATCCATTCTCATGCCAGGTCTCCAGATTTCTGTTTATATAAATTAGAGAAATCAAACAGTTC